ATATAAATATAAATATTATATGTGTGTGCGTGTATGTATATGTATATGTATATGTGTATGTATATGTATGTGTATGTATATGTATATGTATATTAATATTAGTATGATATATATATATATAGTTATACTAAATTAGTAAGTAAATACCAATCATTCATATCTTTATACCTATATATACTGCGAACATGGTGTATTTCACATTGCCAATCGCGTGGGGTTTGTGTGTGCATGTGCAGTGTCTGTAGATCATGTTTGGAGCACCCCACCACATTCTTCCTTGCATCAAATATTGCAGGGTTTGCTAGATGATCATAGGACTTAGTTGCAAACTGTCCCACAAACTGTGTCCGTGTCATTCCATTTCTTCCCCTCAACTACTTCATATCTTTAGACTCTGAATGTCAACACCCTACCACCGTACAGGCCATAGCCATGTCTCTGTTTGGTGGTATGAGTCTGGTGTGTGCTATTTTTAGCCTGCTCCTCCCCGAGACCGCCGGGACTCAGTTTGACCTCAATCTGACCTCGATGGTCAAGCGGCTCTATGAAATCGACTACAACCCCGTGACGAGGACAGCGCCGCGACAGTACGTGCCTCGCTCGAGTGTACTTGCGCTCATATACTATGTCTGCCTCGTGTCTATACTATACTCGCAATCGACCCATGGATATCTGGATAGCCGCTGAGTCATATAGAGGGTGGATGCTTGTGTTCTTGTCGCATGTACACGAAGCTGTGTTGTATCTGGTGTCGTTATTATTTGGTATAGTTGCTTTCGATTATGTATATCTGCTGATAGTCAGCCCATTTCACTACGTGATTTGAACTGTGGTGTGGTGTTCTGTCGTTTCCTGCGGGATGCCGTTTGGGCGCGTGAATGTGTATGAAGACCGAACTCACCGGTACAAACATGCGCTTTCTAGCAACATGTATGTGTGCACAGGTACAGGCATATAGTTTGGTCGGTCATACTGAGACAGTTTTCGTTTGAACATATGCATACATATGAATATGATTCCATACTACCACACATACCAACGTGCACCCAAACGGTGGTCCAGGTATATGTTCGTATCTCGTCGGGTCAAACATGCGCCTGCCCTCGATCTACCGCATAGTCTGGTGCGCATTGGCCAAGTGAAGACAATTCAGGTGCCAGCGAGTTCATAACCCCAAAGCATGAAGGAAGCTGGAATTTCTCACGATTGCTTTTCTTATGTACCCTGCTGTAATCCACCCAGAGATGTGGAGGGATATCAGCCGTTGACGCGAAATAGTACCGACGATATGTCGTTTGACTTGTAAACTGGCGACTGTCCAGACTGTAGATGGTTAGTGATGCTGCTGTTAGTTTACAAGTATGGCCCCATCAAGTACTGGCAGCCACCAAACACCATACTCACAAGCACTATACTTAGCAAACACTACACTCACAAGCACTCCACTCACAAGCATTGTACTTAGCCTCCAGTGGAGAGCACAACACATACCCACCCTCCATGCAAGAGGCGCTCAATTGCAGAGCGATACCCAAGGCCTGTACTAAAGACTGTGGGGAGCAAGTGTTTCCGTTTCTTGTACTAAGGACTGTGGGGAACAAGTGTTTCCGTTTCTTATACATAGGACTGTGGGGAACAAGTGTTTCCGTTTCTTGTACTAAGGACTGTGGGGAGCAAGTGTTTCCATTTCTGAAATGCCAGCTCTCCGCCTGACAGCGTTTAGACTAATTGTCTGTAGTGCTAACCGTCAAGTCCAGCCGGCTCATCGACCACCTGATAGTACGCGGCCGCCTGTATCCGCGAGTGTGAGCGGGTCACATGGTGTCATGGACAATCTCGGCTCAGTACAAGTACAAGACGTACCCATCTTAACTCCTGTACGCATCTCAGTCCGGTACATATATAAGGCACACTCATCCGTGTGCGATGGAATGCTGCGGATACCCATCCGCGACTGCTCAGGTGATTACTTGGGAGCCACTCGAGCTCTATGGGCAATTCAATCGGACAGCCCCCGTATCTATAGCTACACCTCTCTACTAGCAGCCACATACATATCCACATACAAAATCTTCGGGCAAATACGCGTCCACGGCTCATCCGTCCGCTTTCAATGGGCTGCAACGAATGCACATCTTCGCCTACGCAGAAAATGGGCAGCGGAAGATGTACGAGTTGGTGGTACCTCACTACTATGCACTTGGACAGCTACACTCATACACAATCACCCAGTCAGATAAACATACGCTCGCCCGTCTGTGCGCAATGGCTTATTGCTGCACGTTGTTGGCTTTCCTGGTTAGTTGGTTGGCTCGGGAATTGTACGAGCTGTGTATGTAGACGGACAATTAACTGGTCCAACTATACCTATGATACTATGGCACAAAGTAGGTACGGAAAGAATGTGAATGTAAATGGTATGCATATAAAAAATGAGCTGTATGTAAACGGGCGGTTAAAAGGTCCAGCTAAACCTATGATACTATGGCACAAACTTGATAGAGCGAGAAAAGGAATGCAAAAAGGATACATATATGAAAATGAGCTGTATGGAAACGAACAGTTAAATGGTCCAGCTAAACCTATGATACTATGGCACAAACTAGATAGAGCGACAAAATGAATGTCAAAAGTATACATATATGTAAATGAGCTGTATGTAAACGAACAGTTAAATGGTCCACTAAACATATGATACTATGGCACAAACTAGATACGGGGAGAAAGTGAATGCAATTGGTATGCATATAAAAATGAGCTCTATGTAAACGGACAGTTAAATGGTCCAGCTATAACTATGATACTATGGCACAAAGTAGATACGGAGAGAACGTGAATGTAAATGGTATACATATATGAAAATCCACTAGTTGGCTTTTAGTTTCTGGATTTCCATCGACAAGAATCTGCCGAAGAGAAGTGTTTGCTTGTGAATATAGTACACACTGGTTCATCCGCCAGCCTCTCTGTTGAAACCCTTTCGAAAGCAAATCGAATACACTTCGTGTTCTGTGTATTATTATTTGTGCGGGATGCTGTGGATACCTACTTGCCTTTAATAGACAAAAAATAGAATGTTCTATTTTTAGCCCAACAGGAGAGTTGGCTTGATTGCACAACTGAGTGTTAGGTTCACAAACGCACACAATACCAGTGGGTGTACCACCGCCTCTGCTCGCGCAGCACACGACCCGAGACTATAGTACTGCCATACACAGGCAATGACCCCTGTCCAGACTTGCAACGTTCTACGGCCGTTTATTGTACGCAGATTCGTCATCATACTAAATTGTTCACGTACGTACTCTACTAAGAACTTCACGGAGGCACTTCTATTTTTTGAAGTGCTTCTCCTTTTTCCTCTTCTTCGATGTTCTGCGATCCATATCGGCGAAACTCAGCGCCTGCGACAAAGCGGGTATGCAGTTGTAAAGATAGAGAGTTAGTTAGAAGGAATGGTCCAGATAAACGGCACATAGAGCATACAAGCAATATCAATCTTACATGAAAAACGCCGCCGAGATACTCTTGTTGTCGTACAAATTCGATCTCAGGACTAAAGCAGTACTTGATCCACGCCAACATTTCAGGTTATAGGCAACAGGATGGTAGCAGGTATGAATCGAAAAGATCGTGACCACACACGCACGCACAAGGGATACCACAGCGAGGCATATACAAACCCAATCAACCCACGGATATGTGTGCACCCATATACGCCTGGTGATCCCATAAACCACAGTGTACTGAGCCTCGTCCTCCAGCACGCACCTCAATATTCAAACTGTTGATGAAGGGTAGGAGGATTGCCGCAAATGTCCCCAATGCGTCTGCCTGACTCCGGCTCAGCGAAACAGACGTGACGGTCGATGTCTTGGAAGTGGACCAGGTATTGAAGAAGGTGCCCAATACCGAATGCAGTAGTTTGCGTATCATCTCCGCCTCGCGCGTCTTCACCGTATCCTTCGCACCTCTGGATAGCGTTGCCTCTAGAAGCTGGCTGTACGTCTGTGTCGTGTGGGCAAACGTATTGGTGGTTGATCAGTTAGTAGCGGCACGATATACAGTTCCGTCTGTAGTAGTTTCAAACGTATTGGTGATTGATCAGTCAGTAGCGGCAAGATATACAGTTCCGTCTGTAGTGGTTTATCTGTGCGACGACTAAACAAGAGCTCATCTCCGCAGACCCATGATCCTGAGCAAACCGAGGACAACCCCTGAACACGATCGCAGGAAATGTGGGCATTTACTTGCGGATGCCACCATGCTGCATGCTCTGTATGCGGTATGCTTTGATCTGCACTGAGCTGATAGTGACCCACTGTACCTATGTTTCCGCCGAGAGAAACCGTCAGGAATGAGTGTAAAACTAATTTTCCGGGTGCGGAACGGTCCGAAATATAGAAATATAACCAGAATAGCACGCATGTCCTAAACGCAAAAGAAAAAATCCCCATTAGCACGACACATTGATTGTATTCAACTAAGGCATACTTTTGATATTAGGAAGGAGATGTCTCATTAGCACGACACATCGATTGTACTCAACTAAGGCTTACTTTGAGATTAGGAAGGAGATGTCTCATTAGCACGACACATCGATTGTATTCAACTAAGGCATACTTTGAGATTAAGGAGATGTCTCATTAGCACGACACATCGATTGTATTCAACTAAGGCATACTTTGAGATTAAGGAGATGTCTCATTAGCACGACACATCGATTGTTTTCAACTAAGGCTTACTTTGAGATTAGGAAGGAGGTGTCTCATTAGCACGACACATCGATTGTATTCAACTAAGACTTACTTTGAGATTAGGAAGGAGATGTCTCATTAGCACGACACATCGATTGTATTCAACTAAGACTTACTTTGAGATTAGGAAGGAGATGCGCGGCAATTGACTCGTTCCCCAGGGCCGCAAGACCCAGTATCGCTCCAAAGTTGGACCCAAAGGTCTTGTCCGTTTCCAGTAAGCCTTTTACGTACAGCTGTAGTGATAGTAGAAGCGTTCACTAAACAGTTCGTTCTACGACCAAATGTACGGGACTGACTATCTGTGTATACAGTCTAAAAGCGCTTTCAACCCCGTTTAAACGGTTTGGTGTTTGGCAGGATCAACTAACTCGTAGAGCGGCCATCCGATCTCTGTACCCAGAGAGGGATAGAGAATGAATCCTCTCGGGGACCACTAATGATACTCAGAGATGTACCAACCAACCCCCCCGGGAATAACCGTACTGTAGCATGATCATTAATAGACAAACAGCGCCCACTATAGACCCCTGCCACACCACCGCACAGTTATGCAAAACGTTCAATCCGTTTGGCAACACAGTCGGACACCCATACCTTAGTCACGCGTGACTTGAGCGAGGTTTTCGTATCCTCCCACCTGTCACACATTAGTGGTATCAGCAGAGCCGTCAGTCCCCGCAACTGCCAGTCATTCACCACCACGCCATCCTCCGCCGGGGGTGCGTATACATGCGCCTGTAGAGGTACCGAACTGTTGTGTGCACGCTTTCCTCCGGGTGGCAGAGACCGCTTGAGCACACAGGACATCACGCGCGGCAGGAGTGTGGCGATGTACGGCTGAACGGCCACGTGCTTGTTCTTCATCAGTCCCAGCAGAAGCCGCACGGCCGCGGTAAGGCTCTTAAGATTTTTGCAGTGCTCTTCGAACTGGCAGGTTAAAAGTGGTATACGCCATACGAGAGAGCTGAGTTTAAGTTCGGTACAGAGTTTCTCTGTTAGGTTTTATCGATGGCAAGCTGGAAGATACGTGAGGAAGCATAATACATAGAAGGGTCTCGTCATGTTTGGGGATTGTGATAGCGTGATCAGAGCACACTGCTCCTCATCAGGCGATGGTATACGCACACTTTACGCTTCCACAGAACAGAACCAGGTAATAGCCCATATATACTGCGATGTAGGTGATTCGTATGCTCACATTTGAAAAGTATGCACACGCTTGACAACCCTTCACGCCGATCTAATCAGTGAAAGTACAACACGCGGGTAGCGTGATATAATGACACGCCACTTGCCACAACCCGGCCATGATTAAACAATCAAAGCCTCTATCTAGTATAAGTACGCTATTTGCGTACCAGATCCATGACAAAGTCGATGAAGAATGGGACCAGAGGCTCTATGATGCGGTCACTGCTCAGGCAATCCAAGGCTGTTCGCACTCGCTGTTGGTCGCCATCTGCGGTGGGGATTTTTGAAGCTACGATGATCAATCAATCCATTCCCAGCAGACATACAGGGTTGAATAATAGAGATATTTATATAGCTGTGAATGAACTGTGGTCTGAAATTTGTCGCAGAAGCTTAATACGCTTTGAAGTATATGTACATACGTACATTCTCATACACATTCGCGTGTATTTACCTAACAGAGACTTCTTGATATCCTCCAGATATGCCAATTGCTCGGGTTCCAGGTCAACACGAGGCGCATGGCTGGGATTGACCGTTTCAATTGAGAATACAGCTGGGGCTGGAACGAACACAAAGATAAGAAACGGGTTAATGTATTGACGCAGCATGAATTGGTTGAGAACTAGTACCGAACTGAAGCTGTGTCAACTTTAGACGTAGAAGCCGGCTTCAACTGCGATTAAATCATTAAAAGATCAGCACAATTCCACTTGTTACGGAATTGAGCAAGTTTTTGCTTTGCCTTTGGTGCATTGTTACGAATCAAGTATTTGCCTCAATGAATGTTCATTTGCGGTGTGTGTATGTAGGGTCTATAAGTATGTGCTATACATACACTTCC